AGAAAAAGAGGAGGAAACTGGGTAGCCAGCTCACATGTCCCTCCTCTGAGCCCCTCTTCCACTCCCTCACCCGTTTCCCTTCTCAGCTGCCTCCGTTTTGCACGGAGGAAACATGCACGTGGTCTGTTGCATTCAATAATACTTGGAGAAGATGCTGGCACACACATGGCTGGATTTCTTCCTGTCAACTGCCCCCTCAGCTCTCCTCCTGCTGCTGCTCTGGGCCTCCTCCATATGCCACACTCTCGCTGTGCTGGGACTTTCCTGTCACTCTCGTGTTGGATATCCCGGTCTCCCCACCTGCTTCCACAGCCTCCCAAGGAATCCCACTTCTCTACAGCAATCTGGGTCTTTCCCATCAGTGCTACCCGCCCTGGCTCCCCTTCGGATCCTCTGTGCTTTCTCAGAGGGTTCAAGAAGGCCTGATGCCCTTGGTATTTCCAGCCCCCGCAACGTCTCCCGGTCTTGTTATTGTGCATTGGTCAGGGAGGCTTGGGATACAAATAATGTGTTCTGATTAAGGTACAGGATGAGGAATCAAGAAAACCAGCTTCTCTCCTGATTTTACCACAGGCCCGTCAGGAAACCTTGGGAAAGCCCAGCTAAAACTCCTTTATTCTGTGTAACTGATAAGCCCTACAAGCCATCTCTGCAGGACAGGAGAGCATTTACAAGCCCAAGTGATCCAGTGCAAGCACTGCGCTTGGCAGCTTTGAAAATCTTGAATGGGGAACTGATGTGGACTCATGACGAGGTAGCAAGAGCTGGGAAATTTCATCCAGCCAAACTCAGCAGCCATTTTTACCTCTCTCATAGTTTAGCTCTCCATAAAATGGGGTTAAAGTTGATCTTTCTTGGAGGGGCTTGGGGAGGAAACATTTTTTAACCCCAATCACATTTGCATTTCAGAGGTGCCTAAGCATTGTCCTTTCAAAGATCAGAAGCTTTTTGACCTCTTCACATCCCAGAGAATAGGGTGAGGTTTATTTTCACACTGAGTCAGGAATGTGGCAGAGTCCCTTACAATACTGAGTGGGTTTTGAACGCTTTCTACTTACTGTACTGCTTTCTGTGTGAGGTGTTTTGCTTAGCTGTGATCGATCACTGCAAGTCAGATGGCACCATTTCTTCTGCAGCTGGGTTTCTAGCGTGAATTTAAAATGTGCTTTCCATTGATTGTGACAGCACAACACTAATGAATCCTGAACACATGCGTTAATAAATCAGCAAGTGCTGGCAATGAAGCCCCCAGCTATTTAGCTTAGAAGCTCACTGGGGCAGCGACACACACTGTATGTTTCTACAGTGCTGCTGAGCTTGGCTACCACCTCTGGGTGCTTTTCCAGTCCAAATAAACAACAAATGAGGAGCTGCCACTGAGACAAGTTGACCTCTTGTGGTCAATAATTTGCTCGACTGACCTAGGTCTGCTGGGGGACCAAGAACGGGCATCATCTCCATGCCATCTAAGCCCACCTGTGGTAGGTACTGTCAGGAGCATGATTCCCCACTAGGACTCATCAGCCAGGTTACTTCATGAACTTCCAGTTGCTGTAATCAGACTCTGTGGCTGCCGTGTCTCCCTGCCCTCTGTGTACCAACTCTTCTCCCCCAAGGGCTGATGAAGGAACAAACATAGAACAACATGCTTTAATCACTGAACTCTGGGGTACCACTGTCCCCCTACATTATGGGTGATGGTAATAAACAGGAATCCTAAAAGCAACAAGGAAAGGGGAGGAAAAAAAGATAATCTCCTTAAAGTGTCCTCCATGCCCTCCCTCACCCTGCTGCTTTTCTGATAAAGGCTAAAGCAATTCAGCATTGGAAAGGGGAAAGGGACTTTGCCATCACTTGTCAAGGAGAGTGTGGGGGAGGGATGAATGTGTGCATGTACTTCCTGATAATTTATCGCTGGCATCTGTTGCAGCCTCTTTTACCTACCCTTTTGTAATATAGGTCACCCACGTGCCCTGCCAATGCTCGTAAGCCAGTCTGTTAACGGAGTCTGATCCCTGAGCCATGATCCAAGGGTTAGTGCAAAGGACTGGGAAAGATAGTCAGAGACAGAGGTTGCTGGGCTCTGTTTCTGACTGCAACTCATCCTAGTGACACAGTCACCTGTCTCTCTAGCCTCAGTGTCCCCGTCTGGAAAATGGGGACTCTATTATCCACTATTATTATCCAACTACCTAGAGCAGAGGCACTACCGGCTACGACCTCAGCCTTACTTCTGGGGGTCATTAAATACAAAATAACACCACCACCATCTACAACTATGGTAAGAGCCATTCGTAAAGCAGATGGAAAGCTTTGGATAGAAGGTGTCACAGAATTGGGAAGTATATGGATGCAGTAAACTGAAACCCTCCTCACCCTCACAGTTTGCTCCTTGGGACCCGACTTATGAAAGCTAAGGCTTTAGAGTGGTACTGCAAACGTTACTGGTGTCTGGGCAGGGAGAAGGGAAGCACAAGACAGTGATAGTGCCTGCTGTAGCTTTTATGCCCTGGCAAGTGCTGCAGAGTCATTACAATCTCCTCAGCATCTCCCCCAGCAGTAAAGTTCCCTGTTCAAGCTAATTAGGGGAATCCTCATTAGAGAGTCCTCTAGAGTCTGACAGCAGGCCAAATGTCCAAGTGGCACTTCAGCTCAGTGTATTTTTGGCCACTGGAGCCCATGGGCCAGAAATGGATGAATTCATTCTGTTGCTTTGAGCTGAAACTAAAAAAGTTGTCTTACTGTCCTATATCAAACGGCAAGAAGAAAAGGCCATCACCAGCCCCACAGGCTACTTTGTTTGTTTCTGCAGAATCCGGAAAAGAGATTCAATTTCAAGCACGTGGAAGAAAGCTCTGGACACTGTGTCCCATGGATCACAGGGCATTCAGCTCACATGTTGCTCCAGGGAGAAGGAACCATCTAGGAAGCCTGGAAGAAAGACTAACGCCTGGTTTGTGGAGCCCTTGGGTGACTTCAGAGCGTTCAGAGCTCCAGCAATGCTGATCAGCCTTGAGCTCCCAAACCCAGGCAATGCCATGCTAGTTCAGAATGGATGGCACAGTACCTCTCCTCTTGGGCTGGGGGTGTATGGGGGCACTCCTAGGTCTGGCAGAGTCCTCGCTGCTGAAGAGTCCCTGGCTGTCAGGCTGAAAGCAGCCAGACAGATTTGGTGGTGCTCTGGAGAGCCTTGAGGTGCAGGCAAGTGCCGGTTGCCCCAGGAGTACAGGGTTCCCATTGCTGCGTTGGCAGTGAGCGCAGCTGGCCTGGTGCTCTGCAGAGCAGAAGGCATCTCTTGGGCCACAGTAGAACAGCTAATTAAGTCAGAATTCAAGACAAATCAGAGAAAACCTTTATAAAAGAAACTCTCAAAAATCCTCTCTGCCTCCTTGCTCTCTCCTGGATGCAGAATATTAATCACTAAGGGTCTAACATGCTTATGGGCAATAGATGTATGGGAGAAACTGGGTTTTTCTGGATCCTTGGAATCAAAATTTCTCCATAAACATACTACTTCAAGGTATAAATGCAGAAGCTCATTGGCCCTTTCACTTCAGCAGTCAGGAAGCTCTACCTATTCCACATCTACTGCTCTGCCACCTGAGCATATGTTATGCTTGGAGAAGCAGGCAGTTTTGTGCAAGACATGAGTGTTGATAAATATGGGTCACAGAAGAGTCCCCAGTACACATGCAAGCCCAACTCTGTGCACACATTTGTAAATGTAAGCCAGATTGGTGACTACATCTGCATATGTACATGAAGATAGCTGCTTTTAAGTCTTAGAAACGTGTATGAGTGCAAAAAGGGTGGCCACTAGCCATGGGGCGAGGAGTGCTGTGTTTATGTATGTATGTGGCATGCTTTTAAAATAATCTTGGGTTTATCAAGGTACCTCCATCTTCGTGCACGTTGCAGCGCAGGAGACAGCATTAAAGCCTGAACAGGTGTTAATCACTATGCACTGTAATAAATTCTAAACATAGGGAAAGGGCTTATTTATATACGGCCGCTCCTCCCACCCTGCACTCTGTGCTTGAGCCTTGGCGCTGCCTGAGAGGAAGATGCGCCCGTGAGGTATCAAGAGCTGGACTTGCCCTGCCAGAGCAGAAGGAGCTAGGGGTAGAAACCCTGACCCTGTCACCGTCCTCGTGCCTGGGTATGCCGGTCCTGCTCCAGCCCCCCGCTGTCGCCTGGGGATGGTGTGGCTGAATTGCACAGAGCAGCAAGTGGGGTGGGGGGTACAGCAGCCCATGGCCTGAGCGGGGGCCTGGGCTGAGGGAAGACTGCAAAGGGAAGCCCTGTCACGAAGCACCCAAGGAAGCTGTTTTTTTTTTTTTTTTTTTAAGTTTTACCCCTGATT